GTTTGAATCTTCGGGCGAGGAATTTGTTCTTAATCTCCAAGAAGTTTCCTTTTCCGACATCCATTTTGAAGGGCTCGTTGATGATAGAGAAGGCCACGTCGTTCTGGATGTCTTGCCAGCGCCCGTAGCCGTGTCTCACAATACCTGATAGAAGCCAATAATCATGACGTCTGTGCCATATCTCGAGCTGTCGGATGGGAACCGCGGCCTTCTCTTCGTTCTGCCAAAGGGTGTGCAGTTCAGTGAACCCTCCGTCCGCTATATTGAACATAAACTTCTGTTTCGCCAAAACCTTTTTCACTTCCTTTACTTCTTTCACGTTTTCATCATTCGTTTCCATTTCTTCGGATTCTTTATTTCCATTAATGGTTTTATTTTCTTTATTTAAATTCTCGTCAACTTTTTCTTCGCTTTCGGTCTTCTTCTCCTCATTTTCTTCTTCTTTTGACTCTTCTTTTACGACCTTCTCTTCAACCAATTCCAAGGGTTTAGAAGTGTTTTCTTCCTCTTTAGGTTTATCTTCAGTTTTCTCCTCTGTTTTCTCACTTTCTTCAGTTTTAATCTCCTCTTTAGGCGTCTCTTCGGCTTCTTTTTCTTCGTCTTTCTCCTCATTAATCTTTGGTTCTTCGGGGGTCTCCTTGTTATCGGTGGGAGGCGTAGGTGTAGGCGACGGCGCTTTGCTGTCAGTGGGTGTCGTCAAAGCGGATGAGACCGTAGAGATGGCCGCCGAGCCGTTCACTCCGTTTTGGGGCAGTTCCTGATCGGGTAGCAAAACACTGAGCGTACCGTTTATGTGCTCAAACTCTTGCACTTTCTTCCGAATCAAAGACATGACACCAATTCGCGTCAACACGTGTTGTCTGGAGAGACCCTCTCGCGGCACTCCGTCGGCGAATGTCTCTGAATTGTCGGCTCCGGGTTCGCACAGATGTCTCATAAACAGTGAGACATATGCGCGGAAATTCTTCTCTGATTTGCCCCTCAGGTCTCTAACCAACCACTGAGAGTTGAAGGCGTCCTGAGGAGGCATTCCGTAACGCATTATTGCATTCAAAAACGCTTTCCTTTGTCGAGCGTTGAATCCCAAAACCTTTCAACAAAATATAAAATGTTTGAAAATGCCTTTGAAAACAATTCTTTCTTCTTAACAAATGTTTTCCTAATTTATATCACTTATTATTGACTGCTTTGAAAATAGCGAAACATTTCTTAACATATTTTGCTAATGAGTTAACAATCAAATACAGTCGTAAATATCAATAGCAAACAAATGCACTAAAAATACCTCAATATTTCCGCCAACGCGGGCCAGAAGAGGCGGAAGGGGTCGGTCTTTCTCTCCGCGCTCTCGCCTTCGAGATCGTCCGCCCTTTTCTTCTTTGTTGTCCTCGAAGTCGTCGTCATCGTCTTCATTGCCAGAAG